TTTCCCTTCTACGAACCAGTTTCAGCTCTTGGATCGATTCCTCCGCCGGACCATCGATCAAGCAATTGGATTCGTGCCCATTTACCAGATCGATCCTCTTCGAAGCTCGACGAGTGGAACTGCGAATAGGAGTTTGGGACTGTGGAGTCTGAGGAGTAACCGAAATTGACGAAGGAGACCGATACCGTTTCGCATAAGGATTAGTTGGTGTTTGCTTCAGTTTACCAGGGGTTCCGATGATTCTCTTCCTCGGAGTCTCCGCCATAGATGCTCCTAGCTAGGGTTTACCGGAGAAAGCAGAGGAACAGATCTGAGAGAGAGATGGTGGAGGCGACGAAGGGCTTTAAAGGGGAGAGAGAGTTGGCGGGAAATGTTCCCTCGCGTTTTGATCGTTTTGTAACATTTGACGCCGTTATATCGGGGATCGTCTCTCTCCATTATTGACAAAAAATTATATTACAATATTATTTTAAAAATATGTTAAAATACTCTTAAATCATATAACTTTTGTTTATTTTACAATCTAAAATAATTTTTAAGTAGTTCATAAAATGAAAAATATGCGCATTATCGTTTGTCTGTTTTGGATTTATTTTTTAAGAAATATAAATAAAAATACTTAGAAAAAAAATGATTTAAATACATCAACATCAACATCAAACGATTTAAATACAATTCTTGAAAATTTTAATTTTAAAAATATTTGAACATGTATATAAGATATTGTTTAAATGATTACATAAATACATCAATATTTAATAATTTTTAATAATGTTAAGTAAACTAATAAAAATTATAATCAACTTTATTATCCTCAGTCACATAGTTCTCCCTTTCCATATCATGTTCGATCCTTCTTATATATTTTTAATCAAATCATTCTTTTTCCCTAATTTCTCTAGTTTTACAAATATGATCTTCGGACAAATTTTTCTCGCTATGAAAGAATTCAAATATTCTAGAGATAAAAAATTTAGAATATTTTGTTAGATTATTAGTATTCTTGTTAAATTTAAATTTAGAATACTACTATATATAAGATGTTGGATACACTCTTCTCCAATGTATACTTCTCTAATAAACTCAACATTTTAACCATTGGCGGTTTCTATCTCTATTTGGTCGGCATTGAATAAGAAATATTTTTATTTATATTTTTGTAATAGTAGATTTTGATAAATATAATAAATTTGATATTTATTTAAAAAATAAAATTTTAATTTCTTTTTATATATAAAATTTGATAATTAAATTTTCACTCTAAGTCTAAAATTATTTTCTAAAATTTAGATTATTCTTTAAATATTTATTTCATTGTGTTATATTCAAGTAAAATACCTAACCCAAATGGGGTGATCTAATGGTTGGATGGTACAAAATACTCACAACCCGGATTCAAACCCCATTGGGCCAAATCTTATAAAAAAAATAAAATACCTAAAAAAATTTATTAATTTATCCAATTTTTCTATCAATCTTCCATCCCATTTAACCTTTTCTTTCTAAAATAATCAAAATTTAAAGAAACAAATACTTTTTTCCTAATTTTATAATCGGAAGGAAAATTATCAAAAAAAAATCCTTTTTATCTTTATTTAAAATCTATATTATTTTTAAACAATAAAAATCTATACAATTTAATTATTCAAAATATTTTTTATTTTTAAATTTTATAACCAAAATAACATATTATCAAATGACGTCTAACTCGATAAACAGATTCCTATATGACGAAGACAAAAATTCTAAATCATCATCTACATTAATATCACGTAGAATTAAAATAATAATAAAATAAAAAGAGAACCCTCGGATATCTATTTAATTTTCATTTTTATCAATTTAAGATTCATATTTATGAAATGATGAAAATATTCATGTATTTTTAACTTGTTGTCCAAAAAACCTATAATGAAATATTTGTCACAGAAATCCGATGTGGTAAAAAAATTTCTTAACCCAATATCTAGAGGTGGACACCAATTGATATCTGGTATTTTTTAGATATCAGTATCCGTAACAGATCCGTACGAATATACAATTTTACTATTCGTATCCGATCCATATTTTTCGAATATCTGTAATTTCAGATATCTGTAAAAATTGCGGATATTTGCAAATATTCGTATCCGGTTTAAAACATAACAAAAATAAGAAATAAAATTTTAAAAACTCAAATATAAAAAGTAGAAGAACTAGATCCTGAAAATTTCAGATATATTAAGAAAAAAAATAATAATGAAGCCATAGATATGTATGACTTTCTATTGTCTTGAAAGGCAGATATATATATGAACTACAACAAAATGAGAGAAAATGTCTATGAAAGAGAATCTCTAACTCAAAAAAACGAAGGCTACAAAACAAATCATCATGTAAAATCACTCACCGGAAAATCAAAATAAAATAATGGAAAAAAAATTCTGGAAAACAAGATAAAAAATGGTGAAAAAACAAAATGATAATGACAACGACAAAGAGATGAAAAGAGGAGGCTGGGTTATAGAGATGGAAAGAGGAGGGCTTGTGACGAATAGATGAGAATGAAAAAAAATGTAATATATTTTTTCTCAAAATGATCCCACAAATATAAATTTATTATCAAATTATCCTATATTTAATAATAGTACTGAATACGGATCAGATATATCGCATAATTCGATTTTTATATTCGTATCCGATCCATATCAAACAAATATTTTAAAACCAATATCCATATTCGATCCGTGAATTCCAAATATCCGAATTTTCGGTTTGGATATGAATCGAATAACAAATGGGTTTGGTTTTATCAGATATTTTGTCCACCACTGTCGCTATCCCCATTATCCCTCCGCTTAAAAATTATAAAAATTATTTATATTGAAAAGGTTGAGTTATTTTTTGAATATATTTCGATATTTCATATATTTATTTATCAAATTAAAAATTCAAATATTTGACATATTTTACGACACATATTTTATAAGATTGTTCCTACATATTTTAAAATTTTATTTATTTTTTATTTTAAAGTTTATAATAAAGATGATTTATGATAATATTGTCACAACAATAACACTTTGATAACAAGTTTATTTGTATCGACCTTATAAATTCTTAGTATTCATTCGTATCAATTTTGAATTAAATCATGCATTCAAAATTTGTAAAGACTCAGAATTATTATTAATTATTACTATTTACTAGTTACAAAGTAAATTTAGGTCTACTCTTATCTTCCCTTTCTCTCCTATTAATATTGTTAATTAGATTAAAAAAGTTATACAAATAAGTAAATGTATCTACATATTGACCGAAATTACTAAACGGCATAAGTTTTTGCTGTTATCAGAAGACCTAAAAAAAAGAAGCGCATGATAAATTGAAAACGTATAACGTACGCCGATGCCGATATTAACGAAAATATATTGACTGAGCTTTAGATTTTTCGGTTTTGGGGCCCGCATAGCTACGACACGTGTATAAAAATAATCCTAAAACCTAATATTGTTATAGCAAGGCGAGAGACGGAGTTCGTCGTCGTTGTTATCTGAAAGATCCTTGGTTTTTCGTTTTCCGTTTTCCGGTAAGAATTTGAGCTTTGTTCTTTTAATTCACGCTATTTTAAGGCAAAAAATTGTGCGCTGATGCGATTCTGAAATCTATAAACTTGCTGGGGTGGATCATTCGTTTGAGTTATTTCGTTAGATGTTTGACGAGTGATTTTGAGCGGAGTAATCCGAGGCATGTACCGGTTTGATTCATCGAACGTGTTATGGATTGTCTGTTAAACAATGGTCGAGTGGAACTTATGTTTGGATGTGGATAGGGTGAAAAGAAATTCCGTAGATTAGTTTCTAGTTTGTAAATTGTGTTCCAAGCTCCACTCAGGCTCTCATTGTGGATTTGGATCCAATTATATTAGATCACAGTTTATGCAAAGTGTTGAATATTTCTTTGTTTATTTTGGTTTTTGGTGAGATGTGGACAACCGGAAATATCTTGTGTGGCTTTTGCTCATTCCTTTCGGGTTATTTGATGGGGTTTTGACATAATATGTCTTGTTCTTGCAGACAGATAAGCAAAAATGGTTCAATATAATTTCAAGGATACAACCGTGGTGCCAAATGCCAAGAAGTTGATTGACATCGTCCTTTCCCGTACACAGCGTCAAACACCAACTGTTGTTCACAAGGGTTCTAAGATTTCCGGAATACGCACGTTCTACATGCGGAAAGTTAAGTACACGCAGCAAAATTTTCATGAGAAGCTCTCTACCATTATCGATGAGTTCCCTCGTCTCGATCAGATCCATCCCTTCTACGGTGACCTTCTTCATGTTCTTTACAACAAAGATCACTACAAACTCGCCCTTGGTCAAGTGAATACTGCGAGAAACCTGGTTAGTAAGATTGCCATGGATTATGTGAAGCTACTGAAGTATGGGGATTCTCTGTATCGTTGCAAGTGCCTGAAGGTGGCTGCTCTTGGCCGCATGTGTACTGTTATAAAGAGAATCGGCCCTAGTTTGGCTTATCTGGAGCAGATCAGACAGCACATGGCAAGGCTTCCGTCTATCGACCCGAACACCCGAACAATCTTGATTTGTGGATACCCGAATGTGGGCAAGAGCTCGTTCATGAACAAAGTTACCAGGGCAGATGTGGATGTCCAGCCGTATGCTTTTACTACAAAGTCGCTCTTTGTGGGTCATACCGATTACAAATACCTGAAGTACCAAGTCATTGATACGCCAGGGATTTTAGACAGGCCATTCGAAGATCGTAACATTATTGAAATGTGCAGTATTACGGCATTAGCACATCTTCGAGCTGCTGTTTTGTTCTTTCTGGACATCTCAGGTTCATGTGGTTACAGCATTGCTCAACAGGCAGCACTGTTTCACAGCATCAAGCCCTTATTTATGAACAAACCACTGGTAATTGTCTGCAACAAGACTGATTTGATGCCCATGGAAAATGTATCTGAGGAGGATAAGAAACTGATCATGGAGATGAGAGCTGAGGCAATGAAGACTGCAATGGGTCAGGGGGGTGAGCCAGCAAATGAAGATGCAGTGCTTTTGCAGATGAGTACTTTGACGGAAGAGAGTGTTATGGCTGTGAAGAATGCTGCCTGTCAAAGGCTGTTGGATCAGAGGGTGGAAGCTAAGATGAAGTCGAAGAAGATAAATGATCACCTTAACCGATTCCATGTTGCTCTTCCAAAGCCTCGTGATGACAAGGAAAGGCCGAGTTGCATACCTCAGGCGGTTCTTGAGGCTAAAGCAATGGAGGCTGCTGAAAAGGAGAAAAGGAAGACCGACAAGGATTTGGAAGAAGAAAATGGAGGAGCTGGAGTTTATTCTGCTAGTTTGAAAAAGAACTATATCTTGGTTAATGAAGAATGGAAGGAAGACATCATGCCTGAAATTCTAGATGGCCATAATATTGCAGACTTCGTCGATCCTGATATTCTGTATAGGCTTGAGGAGTTGGAGCATGAAGAGTTGGAGCAAGAAGAAGATGATTTTGAGATGGATGGTGAAGAACTCACGCCAGAGCAGAAAGAGCAGTTGGCTGCTATCCGCAGGAAAAAATCGTTGCTTATTCAGAAGCACCGGCTGAAGAAGAGCAACGCACAAAGCCGAGCAGTTGTCCCAAGAAAATTTGACAAGGACAAGAAGTTCACAACAGAGAGGATGGGTCATGAATTATCTGCAATGGGTGTCGATCCTTCTTCTGCGATTAACCGTGCATGAAGCAAGTCCAGGGGCCGGAAGAGGGAGAGATCTGTCGGAATAAATGACGATAACAATGACGAAGCCATGGATGTGGATGGAGAGCAGCAGAATAAGAAGCTGCGTCTGAGATCGAGATCCATGTCGCTGTCGAGTCCTCATGAAGTTATGCCCGGTGAAGGATTCAAAGACTCTGCCCAGAAGAAGAAAGCCATTAAGATCGGCAACAAGTCTCATAAGAAGAGGGATAAGGATGCACGCCGTGGAGAAGCAGACAGAGTTATACCATCTCTTAAACCGAAGCACTTGTTTTCCGGCAAAAGGAGCATCGGCAAAACCCAAAGGCGCTAAAAACTCTCCAGGTAATGCTACTCTGTCTTTGTAGAATCGAACCAGAGTCCTACATTTGATCACATATATGATTCTCGTATTGCTAGATCCGTGGAGAAGCAGACAGAGTTATACCATCTCTTAAACCGAAGCACTTGTTTTCCGGCAAAAGGAGCATCGGCAAAACCCAAAGGCGCTAAAAACTCTCCAGGTAATGCTACTCTGTCTTTGTAGAATCGAACCAGAGTCCTACATTTGATCACATATATGATTCTCGTATTGCTAGATGGTTTCTGGTTTGAGTTGTTCTTACCAAAATCCCGTGGATATATTTAGTTTCTTACGGTCCGCTAATTTGGCCCTTCTTGCAGGGAAAACTGGTGGATCCAGCAGAGATTTATGTCTGAAGTTTTGGATGGTGTCGTCTCAGAATCTTTCGTTTCTTGTTCAGTTGATTCAATCTTTGTTTTCGTTTCAAAAAGTTGTTTATTTATTTTTAATTTTGATTGTTTCATTTTTCTAAATTTTCATATTTATTTTAGATTTAATTTTGTTTTAACAAATTTATTTCTAATCGAGTTTCATGTCGAAATTAATTCGGATGCGAATGTATTTTACTTTTAAATGTTGCAATGTGTTTTAAAATAATCTCAATATTTATTCAAGTTTTTTTGTAAATTAGATATGCATTTTTTTATATCAAAAAGTTTCAGTTTCTTACATTTTCATCGATTTAGCAACACAAAAATTAAATAGTTTTCTAATATGTATTTGGCAACGTAAAATAAAATAAAATAACTACTTCATAGACTACAATCAAAATTATTTAAAAATAATAATAATTACTTTCTCGTTATATCAGAGATTACAACCAATTCTATTTCATAGCATTTTGAGAAAGTAAATGATTATTTTCTCGTAATGAGTTTATACAAAGTAATACATACAACCAAACCGCATACGAACACATCGATTTTATAGAAAGTAATGCATACAGACAAGAACGTGAGACCTAAAGATCTTCGTTCGACATGTTTCTTGAGGCCTGGGATCACAAGAAGCATACTTACCGAGATAGCAGTAGTAGTTATAAGCAGCCCGAAAAAAAGCTGGAGCTTGTAATCGTTCCATCACCCGAAAATCTGAACCAGAATTCCGACAAGAAACTCCTACCCGCAACCAGCCTTGTGGTGAACGAATGTTTCGGACGAGTATTTCTCCGTAACTCTTTCTCCGATCCCTCCAAACGTGGGAGTGTATCTGCGGCAAACAGAAACAGAAACGGTACAAACGAAACGAAAAAACAAAGTGAATAAGCGAAAAGGAGAATGGTATCTATCCGAATAAGGAGCTAGATTAGGAATCCGAGTGTTGGATAATGGATGTGTTGCTTTTTTGGATATTATCAGTATAATAACAGCAGAAGCAGAAAATTGAAACAAAATTTCCAGAAGAATTCACATATATTATAACCAACAAAAAGAGAAAAAAAATTTACCGACCGAGCAGTCGTTAGGTCTCTTTCGTTGCTAGTTTTCTTTCACGTCCAAGAGTCGTCATTCGCGTCGCTGGTCGACCTGCAAATCTTAAATAACTGTATTTGCATTCCGACATTGGGGAATTGATTTTTTGTTTCCTTCTAAATTTTATTTTATTAACCCCAGTGAGTAAATTGAATGGTAAGCAAGAAACAGGTTGTGTAAACGTACCTGCGTTCTTCTCTGATTTCCTACGGCTGCGCCAAAGAAGCCGTATCGGTGTTCCGGCAAATCCTGCATCTGTACGAAGCTGTTTCTCCATGTAACGACGGTACGTTTCTGGGAAAAGCTTCGCGTCGTTAACGAAGAAAACGAATGTCGGTGGCCTTATCGCAGCCTGCAAAAACAGATATAGCCCGAGTTTTTACCATTACTATTACGGCTGGGCACAGGTACTCAGCACCGTGCATCCGTGTTCGGGTTTTTCCGAACCACGACAGGCTACCCGCCGATACCCATGTAAGAGTAAATTTATGATTATATCCCTACTATTTTAATGTATTTACATAATACCTAGATCTATTTTACATAAGAAATTTACCCCTAACATCAACGAAAATTTTGAAATTTTTGCGGCTTCAGATATCCACGGGTTCCCGAGTCTCGCAAGACCGACACTGAAACATTTTCTTTGGAAAACCCATTAGGATGAAATCGAAATCGGGTATCCGAAAATTCGGTACCCGCCCTGGGTGCACCCCATTACACTACAAGAAATCACCAAAATTTCGAGCTAATAATTCGGTTTTTAGGAACATAATATACTCAAAACTTCACATTTCAAAATGGAAACTTATGCTCAAGTCTTGTCATCATTTCCATAATTCGGATTCATGAAAATAAGTTTACCGATACGAAATAAAAGAAGAACTGAAAATTACACTTAAGCATGAATGTTTTCAAAACCGTAAATTTTCAACGACAGGAAAATTGTGCTCACCTGGGTACAATAGTAAACACGTCCTCTCTTGCCTCCTCGGGTTCTTGGCGGGGCTTTAAACGCCACTGCCTCTCGTACCACTTGATTCAATATGGCAGTGCTAAGCCTTCTTGATCTCTCCTTCTCAACTGTCTCAGCTGCCATTATAATACTACAAAACGATAAGAAAATATCATATCGATCCATCAATGGTGTAATATCGAGCAAGATTAAAAATGGTATCGATTCTTTGAAACGAGAAATACTTCTCGACGCTTTGGCCAGTTATCGCAGTTGAATAAACAACAGGTGCCCAGTTGAGGATACGGAGCTTCTCCCGGACATCCTCCTCATACAGCGATGCAGTCTGTTGATTTTTGTTCGGTATTGTATCCCACTTGTTGACGACGACCAGACATGCTTTGCCCTCTTTTTCTATTCTTTCCGCAATCTTGAAATCCTAAGGCAATGCAGGCGAAATAATAACCACAAGGAATGAGAACAACAGGGGGATGAATTCTCGTAAATATACTATGCATCAGAGATTAGTAGCAAGTTACAAAACCATAGTTACGACACTGGAAATTTGGTAGAGATGCAAATAGATGTATGATGTATCATCCGAATCGATTTGGAAAACAATACAACTAATGAGAGACATCACTATGGACAGAACGAGCAAGAGCTACCGATATCGTACCTGCTCTGTGATACAGGCCATGGCCTCGATGACAAGAGCAACAACATCTGAACGACGAACAGCACGGAATGCACGATTCACCGACAAAGCCTCTGTGGTGCTGCCTGATGAAGCCACTGCCGCCCTTTTCCTGATTCCAGCTGTATCTATAAGCCGAAACTTCTGCAATACAGTTTATGACCACCTGAAATATTCAGGGATATCTGGAGAAAGGGTTTCTATCCAATCACTATTCCTCACTGTTCTATTATCTCGAAGAATCATAGCGTATAGAAATCAACAAAACACTTCTTACGTACACAAATGGTAGGTGTTGACACGGAGAGTAATGGACATAGACGCTAATCGGCATAGAGTCAAAAGGCCAAAGTTATGGTTCAAAATGAAAAACAAGCACATTGGAACTTCCGATCAAAAAAGCCATCTATTGACCGTTTCATTGCCTTTTTCACAGATAGTAAGGTATAACCGACAAAACCAAAGCAATATGCAAGAACAAAACAAAAAAAAGAAAAACACAAACGCAACAAGAGAAAACAAGGAGAACATTCAAATGCACCAACCTGCCCGTCTGGTCCTGTAAATTCTGTATCTATAGCATCCCGAGTAGTACCACTAACAGGGCTGACAATTGTTCTATCCTCCCCAACAAGCGCATTCAAGATGCTACTTTTGCCAACATTAGGCCGGCCAACTATTGCAATGGCAGGAACATAGTTCTTTTCTTCTTCTTCTTCCATGTTCGCTACACTCTGCCGATAACATGAAAAAATCAGTATCTTTTTTTCCGCTGGAATCTCACGGACATGGGAAAGTTTTACAAAATCAACCAAGATTTGTTATTTGTTCTAGGTGTTGAAACCAAAAGCACATAGTCTTCAATGTCCTAAGATCTATGGGACATGTATTACATGAGAATATGACTTAGATTAAGCAAACATAAAAGGTTCACAGCTCATTTGCTTGTTAAAATGCTTAATCAGAGTTGTAAGGATAGATTTCAGAAAATACATACAAGTACAACAAGAAACCCATATAGGTGATATGATCAAACAAACATTCGGAGTCATTTCACAAATCTCCACTAGGTGATTCTGAAAGCCACAACAACCTATAGCACAAACCTCAAATTTATTTAGGCCTGAGCAAACAAGATCAAGAAGCTCCCCAGTTCCAGTTCCTGATACCGCTGATATAGGGAGAGGTGAGAGCCTGCAAGTTGACCAAATATGTTTGCTAATTAGATTCCAAATTATTGGTATATGAGAAAAACGAGTAACTCGCAAAAGAAAAATAGTGACCAAACAGACGCATGTATAGCATGTCTAATCTATGTTGTAACTACAGGCTTAAGTAGCATCACATCCACGTGCACTTGGAGATTTTATCATCTCTAACAGTGAAGCTTTCCAAGGTATTAAAATCTCCAGCAAAGTCTCAATATTTCAGAAGAATACACAAACAACAGAACTTAAATCAATATAAAACCGCAAAATTAATGGAGATTAATCCCATTCACAAGGACAAAAAAGATTATGCCACTCACAAATTTTTGCTAGGACCAGAAACGTGTAAAAATGAAGATACTGAATTCATACAAATAAAACTACTACTTCGCAACAAGAAAGAACAGTCAAGTTACAGTGTTTAAACACATACGATTAAAGAGTTGCCATAAAAAACCACGCCCATCAGATACATCTTTGTAAGAGTTTGTAAATTACAATGGACAGCTATGTTAAAATAAAAAATACTCCGTTCCTTTTGGCCAGTTAAGATCTCACCCACAAGGTCGCATCCCCACACAGGCAAACAAACAATCAACATGAACCAGCAAGACTAGATAATGGGAGAAATTATCCAAAAAAATGGAAATAAGTCGATTTACCCCAGAGACCAAAATTCTGAAGCCTGCATGAGTCCTTTACGTGGAGACTCGCATTTGTTCACTGCGAGAATGATAACCTTATGCGAGTAGTACTTCCGCAACCAATCCGCTATTTCCACATCAGCAGCTGTTGGCCCTGCCTGCTCATTGAATACCAAAATGTGCTACCATTGAGTCCACCACATTGCACGAGAAATAAAATGATTAGCCTACATAGCTATACTATTTTACATTAAACGTGGATTGTCTTGAGATATACCATGTGTACCTAACAAGACCACATATTTCATTGATTAGCCCGGTAACCCAGACTTACCACATGAATGTGCAAGTACATAAGAACGGCTCTCTCAGTTCTTAGAAATAACTTTCAAATCCCCAAATTACAACATTGCAGCTACAGGATTTGAAAAAAATAAAGAAACGCGAAATCATTTTGTGGTTTATGGCTGTTAACTGTTTCCTTTCGACTTGATTTGTGGAAGAAAAACAAAATCCGAACAGGAAAAGAAAAGCTTAAGAATGCCAAAGACAGATTATAGCAAAGAAAATAGAGGATAAGCACAGCACCTGGCCATCGACAACAAATACAATGACAGAAGATTCTTCCACAGCTGCGGTAGCTTGTTTCTCGATCATGGAAGGCATCCTTGCAATAGCTGCTTCCCTGGAGCTTTGCGGAATACCATCCATACCGACGGTGGTTGTTATATTGAGCTCTTCCATAACGCCAGCTGGTGACTTCGAAACTGTCAGAACGCCTCCTGTATCTATTACCACAAATTCGTGGTCACCCCAATACGATCTACCATACAAGCGATCCCTAGTTACCCCAGGTTCATCCACAACTATAGCTCTATTTTCCTGTGATGCATTGCAAAAAGATCATAAGTACTACTTCAAGAACAATTGGTTCCACTATGAAGGGAGATGAATACTCGGATCCATTGTAAAGTTTCTATTCCATCCAACTATTACCCCAACAAGGCGGTTGAATAATGCTGATTTTCCAACATTCGGCCTTCCAACTATTGCAACCCTCGGGAGAAGATGCTCTGGGATCTGCGACTGGGATTTTACAAGTAGTGTCAGTAGTAAAAGATGCCCCAATCAAACAACATGACGTATTCGTAACAGTTTCCACTTCAAGCTTGCATCTTCATATTGATCGAAGCATCTCAAACAAGACGACATCAATGGAAAACAGCAGATACGATTCTTCGGGTCGTCTTGTAATCATGCTAGATAGAAACCCAAACGAGATTTATCGGAATTACAAGAAAAGGCTATCAGAAAGGAATTCAACTAACATTCTTTGCAAGCCTTATCTCCTTTCTACGTGATTCCTTCCCCCCATTCTTCTCATCTTCTGGAAACATTTAAACTATCATCACATCAGATATAATGAACTTGAAGACGCATCTATTGTTTGCATTTTTCTTTACACAATCATAAAACCATCCTGAAATTAAAAAAGTTTAGAGTTACCGTTACGGCTAACACATCAGTGTCCGAAATTCAAACATATGCAGAACCGAACAACAGCAGAATCCGTGAGCAGCAATTACCTAATTTTAGTTCTTGAGACAGAGAGGACGTGTAATCCCGGACAACCTCCTCCGCTTCCTTTTCAAACATGGCAACATCGAAGGAGTAATCTTCGTTATCCGAAGCGAATTCGTAGTTATCCTCGAATTTCTCATCGAATTCCACGAATTCATCCTCTTCTTCACCGGAGACAACATCCGGAGACTCTGCCGCCGAGAAACAGAGGCGAGAAGGCGACCGTTGGTAAGAGCAAGACAGAACCGCGGGATTAAAGAACGATCGGAAAATCCGCATAGAAGAAGAAGAAGAGACGGCCAGGGGGGAAACCCTAGAAATTGGTGGAAAGAGCGAGAGAACTCTGGAAGTGGTCGAGTCAAGCAGCGTCCCCATTTTCGCGTACAGAGATTGAGAAAAAGAGACAGAGATACCGTTGCGACTTGCGAAGGGTTTATCTTCTGGGTTTTTGTTTTGCTGGTTCCAAAAAAAATCAAATGGAGAAACGGCGCATGGTAAATTGAAAACGAATAACGTACGCTTATGCGCATATTAAGAAATTATTGACTGGGCTTTTCATTTTTGGTTTGGGCTCACTTATTGGGCTTAGAAATATCAACACGGCACACACATAAAACCCTAAATCCTAATAACTTTGAGTTCTCGTCTCAGCTCTATACACTCTGAGCAGAGCTAGTCGAACGAGAGACGGCGGAGTTCATCATCGCCGTTGTCTGAAAGGTCCTTGGTTTTCCATTTTCCGGTAAGAATTTCAGCTTTGTTCTTTTAGTTCGCAGTAGGGTTTAGGGTTTGGTTCGTAGTAAGACGTTTGACGAGTGTTTTTGGAACGAACGGTATGCCTGAATGTGCCTACAAGATCATTTTTGGATTTTTCTGATTCCTTTCGAGTTCTTTGATTTGGTTTTGACATCATGTGGCTTGTTCTTGCAGACCGATAAGCAAAGATGGTTCAATATAATTTCAAGAAGATAACAGTGGTGCCTAATGGCAAGGAGTTTATTGACATCATCCTTTCCCGCACACAGCGTCAGACGCCAACTGTTGTCCACAAGGGTTATAAGATTTCCCGGCTCCGCCAGTTCTACATGCGGAAAGTCAAGTACACGCAGCAAAATTTTCATGAGAAGCTCTCTACCATTATCGATGAGTTCCCTCGTCTCGATCAGATCCATCCCTTCTACGGTGACCTTCTTCATGTTCTTTACAACAAAGATCACTACAAACTCGCCCTTGGTCAAGTGAACACCGCTAGGAACCTGGTTAGTAAGATTTCCAAGGATTATGTGAAGCTACTGAAGTATGGGGATTCTCTGTACCGTTGCAAGTGCCTGAAGGTGGCTGCTCTTGGCCGCATGTGTACTGTTATAAAGAGAATCGGCCCTAGTTTGGCTTATCTGGAGCAGATCAGACAGCACATGGCAAGGCTTCCGTCTATCGACCCGAACACCCGAACAATCTTGATTTGTGGATACCCGAATGTGGGCAAGAGCTCGTTCATGAACAAAGTTACCAGGGCAGATGTGGATGTCCAGCCGTATGCTTTTACTACAAAGTCGCTCTTTGTGGGTCATACCGATTACAAATACCTGAGGTACCAAGTCATTGATACGCCGGGGATTTTGGATAGGCCATTTGAGGATCGTAACATTATTGAAATGTGCAGTATTACGGCATTGGCACATCTTCGAGCTGCTGTTTTGTTCTTTCTGGATATATCAGGTTCATGTGGTTACAGCATTGCTCAACAGGCAGCACTGTTTCACAGCATCAAGTCCTTGTTTATGAACAAACCACTGGTAATTGTCTGCAACAAGACTGATTTGATGCCCATGGAAAATATATCCGAGGAGGATAAGAAACTGATCATGGAGATGAGAGCTGAGGCAATGAAGGCTGCAATGGGTCAGGGGGGTGAGCCAGCAAATGAAGATGCTGTGCTTTTGAAGATGAGCACTTTGACGGAAGATGGTGTTATGGCTGTGAAGAATGCTGCCTGTGAGAGGCTGTTGGATCAGAGGGTGGAAGCTAAGATGAAATCCAAGAAGATCAATGATCACATCAACCGATTCCATGTTGCTCTTCTGCATACCTCAGGCGATTCTAGAGGCTAAAGCAAGGGAGGCTGCTGAAAAGGAGAAGAGGAAGACCGAGAAGGATCTTGAAGAAGAAAATGGCGGAGCTGGAGTTTATTCTGCTAGTTTGAAGAAGAACTATATCTTGGCTCATGAAGAATGGAAAGAAGACATCATGCCTGAAATTCTAGATGGTCATAACATTGCGGACTTTGTCGATCCTGATATTCTGTATAGGCTCGAGGAGTTGGAGCGTGAAGAGGGTCTCAGGCAGGCTGAGGAAGAAGAAGATGATTTTGAGATGGACGGTGAAGAACTCACGCCAGAGCAGAAAGAGCAGTTGGCTGCTATCCGCAGGAAGAAAGCATTGCTTATTCAGGAGCACAGGCTCAAGAAGAGCAATGCACAAAGCCGAGCTGTTGTCCCGAGAAAGTTTGACAAGGACAAGAAGTTCACGACAAAGAGAATGGGAAGGGAATTATCTGCAATGGGTCTTGATCCTTCTTCTGCGGTTAACCGTGCTAGAAGCAAGTCCAGAGGCCGGAAGAGGGAGAGGTCCGTCGCAAGAAATGATGATGATGGTGATGAAGCCATGGATGTGGATGGAGAGCAACAGAACAAGAAGCTGCGTCTGAGATCCAGATCCATGTCGTTGTCCAGATCAAGATCGAGATCACGGCCTCCGCATGAAGTTATGCCCGGTGATGGGTTCAAAGACTCTGCCCAGAAGAAGAAAGCCATTATGATCGGCAACAAGTCTCATAAGAAGAGGGATAAGGATGCACGCCGTGGAGAAGCAGACAGAGTTATACCATCTCTTAAACCGAAGCACTTGTTTTCCGGCAAAAGGGGCAACGGCAAAACCCAAAGGCGCTAAAACCCTCAAGGTATGCTCCTTGTCTCTGTAGAATCGAACCCGAGTCCTTCATTAAACATATATGAATCTTGTATTGCTAGATTTTGATGGTGGAAGTGCGCGCCCAGGTTTCTTGTTTTAGTTGTTCTTACGAAATCGGGCCAAGACACGGGATATGGTTTCTTACTGTCTTCGAAATTTACGCTTGTTGCAGGTGAATCAGTCAGAGATTATGTCTGGAGTTTTGGATAAGTGTCGTCTCAGAATCTTGCATTCTTATTGTTTCATTTCAAAGTTTTGGTTTTTTTATCAGCTTTCGTTTCACATACATGCTATGGTGTGTTGCATTTTCAATGTTACTGACTGTGCTACTAAATATTCGAATCGTTTGGAATCTCAATTGGAATTTGCTAAGTTGGTTCTGGGGAATTGGGTTGGTACATCGATTTGGTTTTATAAATCGGTTACGTCTATTGATTTGATTTGGCTTTCTAAACCGGTTACGTGTATTGGTTTTCTCCAAATCACTATTCTAATTGGGCTTCATTTTACAAAATGCAAAAGATTCAACAAGATGTAGAGATCTCTCTGTTTTGCTTGATACAGGAAATCTCCATTGGCCGTATTTATGTGTATATATATGTGTATGTATATATATATATATATATATATAAATTTAGGATTCTGGCAATGGTTAGATTAAGTTATTTTTTTAAGTTTTATTGATTTTATAAACTAAACCATTTCAGTTTTTATATTGATTTTCAATGAGATTAGAATTTTTTCTATTAAATTTCAATTTGATTTGGATTCTATTCTATTTATTGAATTTTTTTTGTTATTGTTGTTAAAATTTGATTGCTTCGTTTTTTCTAAATTATTTTTTACTCATTTAATTTTATTATAAAAAAAAATCCAATCGACTTTTATATCGAAATTAATTTAGCTACAAATATATTCTAATTTTAAATGTTGTAAATTTGTTTAATAATCTCAATATTTTATTCAAGATTTTTGTAAATTAGATACGCAAGTTTTACATTAAAAAAATCTCATCTGTTTTACTCAAACCCAATAATATCACTGAAATCTCACATTTTAAGTTTAATAAAAATTAGTTATCTCAGTAATTATTTGAGTCAATTCTCATGTGGTGAAATGATCGCCTATGATTTAAGTTTTTTAAAAGTGCAGACGACGAAGCTCTGTCTTTCGCTCCGCCATCCTGCTGCCGACTCTTTTTGTTAATTAATTAATTAATTAATCAACAAATTAACTTTTAATAATTATTAAAAGATAATATAACTCCCTAAAATCACGTGTAATTCCCTTCATTGACCAAAAGAAGTTTCACAACAGAAGGGAAAGTGTCAGTTGAGATTAATTCCTATGAGACTAGTAGATTAGTTTGCACGTCCACCAACAAAATTGGATTAATTAGAAAAATTAACCAAATTCGTGCATTTACTATAGGGGTGCCAATTGTGTCTCGAGATCCGAAGCCTGGCCTAGTCCAATCCAAAAAACAGCGGGTTTCGGGCCGAGATATTGAAGCCCAAAAATTTTCGGGCTTTCGAACCGGCCCGAAAAAGCCCGATTTTTTTTTAAAAAAAAAATCTTAAGGAAAAAAAAGAAAAAAATTAACAAAGAAAATCGAGCGGTCCGGCCCGACCTGATCCAAACCCGAGATCTATAAGGTCGGATTTCGGGCTTGGTGATATAGGTCCGAAAAAAATCGGGTTAGTTCGAACCCGAAACCCTCAGACCAAGTGGGGGTTCGGACCGGGTCAGGTCGGGCCAGTCCGATTGACACCTCTAATTTACTAATAATATCCAATCAAATTTATCTGTATTTTGTAACACTTTGATAATGTTACGGAACGTTGAAATTGTTTCTACCGACAAATACAAGATCTTTCAACGTTTTTTGTTGTCATTCTCATACTTCAGGAGAAATGTTTTGAAGGAGATCATTCATCTTTAGATTGCTCCAATGCGATCATAATTAATTTTGGAATTCTCTCGCGATATACGATTAAAAAAAAAAGTTGATTGATTTTATTAGTATAAATAGTTCAATCGATTTTTTTAAGTTATTATTAACTGTATAGTTCTATATCTATATAATCATTGGATTCATATTATTTCGATGTGTTCAATTCATCATGTATCTTTCTACTCTAGTAGTATATAAAGAGTCACTCTTTAACCGTGTCACTTATCCTTCATAAAGGTAACGAGATATCACTGATGAAAATAGAGATAACAAAAACAGAGATAATTAGAATATCGGATTAATATTGATCCCAATAATCATATCTACACACTAAATTAGTACTAGGTAAAAAAAAAAGCCAAAGTACGAAATATTCAGTAACACATAATGTCCGATTTTTAAATTCGAGTACGAAAGGAAATGTATTTTAAAATTTAATATTTTGTTTACAATATTTATTTTATTTCACTTGTTTCTTTTATAAAGTTATTTAAAAGTCATAAGATCATAAAATTAAGAAAAACAGTGAATGCACATGTTTGGATGCCATTCGACAGAATTGACTCTAATTCTTATGTCGTCAAACGAGTTTCGGCACTTTCCGACACGGTTAATTATGTTCTGCCTTGTAATTAATTTCACTAATCCTAAGTATAATTATTATTAATCATGAGATTATTGAAGTCAATACAATATGATTCCCCGTGTATCTTAATCGCAATATCTGAGTTGAAAAGTAAAAAAAAAAAAGTGGGTTTTCACTTTTTACCCGTAAGAACTAAGAACCTTCCGACGCCACTTATTGCATAACTAAAAAATCTCATTCGACGGCAGTTGGTGAATAATTTTTTAAGGGAAATCTCATATAATTAACTATTGCAAAATAATATATGAACTAAAAGTTTTCCAAATCAATATATAAATTTATATATTAAATATTGTTTTCGATATGATTTCATAACAATTATTTTTGAATTTCGATCAATAAAATCATCATTTATTAGTGTCTATATATTTGAAAAGATAATTGAAAAAAAAAAGAGCAAAGGATGATTGAAAAAAAAAGAATTTTTTTTTAAAACAGTGCATTTTTTTAATCGATGAATATTCATATTATTAATTTATTATTCATAATTATACAAATAATTCATCGACAACGCATAAAGGGTTCTAGTGTCATTTCACTTGAAGAGTTTACCCGTACCTTTTTAATTATCTTTGTAATTGGATTTTTAAAAAAATTACAGGGTTGTTGAATTGATTACAATAACTTATCTTATCAATTAATTCCTAATTTTACAATACTTCTAAACTATACAGTATTTTCTTTGTAATATACGTAATTCTCAATGCAATTTTTATCGTTACAATTTTAAAATTCTAATAAAAATATTTTTAATTAGTTTGAATTATATTGCTGCTTTTTATTCATAAATCAAGAACTGTGTAATTTGATTTGTATAATGTTAGTTTTAGTTATATAATTTTCTCAACACACTGTTGATTTTTTTTTTATAAATTCAATATTATATCAATTTCAGCTCACAACTCGATTAACTCCCATTCATCGATTTTCTAACCTAATATCTCACAAACTCTCTTTTTTCAATCATTTCCGTAAGCAATAAATTCAACATCCTAGAATTATTTTATTTACCATAATGTTAGTGTCATGAAGAGGAAATATTGGGGCATCACCAAATTTAAAAAATTAAACAAGTAAGTTTATGACACCTATAATGCAATTCTAGAACTCCTTATTGTCATATTTTATTTTTCTATTTTGAATGTCATTGTCTTTCATGTATCTTCCTTTATTTCCTTTCAATTTTTTTTAAAAAAAAAAACATTTCTTCAAAAATCAAAGAAGAACAGGAAAAATGCCTTTTATCCTTTCATCATCACTTCACTTTTTTTTTCTATTGCATTATTTCAATAACTTTGAAACCTTTTTTATCCTTCCTTAAATATGTAACTTTGAAACATGTTCTATCTTATCTCTCTCACCCTTTGTAACGGTGGTGGCCTTTGATATAAAACGGGTTGACTCGACTCGACTCGATTTAGATCGGTCCGAACCAATTTGTTTTCAGTCTAATCTATTGGATCCGTTTTTTTATGAGCCATAAAAATTTTGGTTTGATTCAAATCGTCCGAGTTCATGAGTCAAATAAAAATAAAAATACTAAAAATATTTAAAAAAAATAGTATTAAAATTGATAAATCTTTTTTAAAAACAATTAAAAAATATGTAAAAAAAAATCTGGTTCGCCAACGAATTTGTGGGTTCACCGAGTTGGCTCGTTCGGCTTTTTTTTTAGTTGAAATTTTCTGAATCAAATCAAAAAATATAGAATGGTTCGCGAGTCATTTCGTTTTGATGACTAATGAACATTTAAATTTGAACGTATTACGAAAATGAAGTAAATAATTGAACTGTTTTAAACTATTTGGGAAAGAACATATTTAATCTCGAAAAAGAAAGGTATATTATGTCTTATAAAGTCCTTATAATTTTGTTAGTCTGTTACTTGTTTTCTAGCTGATTGTTTTATTCTTTTCCATTCATAAAAAAAAACTTTATTAGAAAAAAAAATAATATAACTTTAAATACAATTTTCTTAGTGGTCATTTTATCCTCCAGAGTTTTTGTGCCTTTTTTTTTTGTCATTTATCAACCGTTGGGTGACACCATTGACTGATTAACACAAGCATATGTCGATATGATATAACATCAAGATATCAATAATATGGACGGACTTTGTATCATATGCTAAATACAATTGGTTAATTAATGGTTGGATTGCCCATCGAAACCTCTTTCCCTTTGCACCATTCCTTTTGCTTGGAATTAGAGGGGGGAAAAAAGAAGAGGATAAAAAGGAAAACGGGTTGATAGGCTTAAGACAAAATCTGTTTGGATAATTCGATCGGTGAAATGGGGTATAAAACGTCTCTATCTCGTACTAAATTTGAATCTCAAGTTTGGAGAGAAGATTTATATTCCAAATCATATGGATGATTTTCGATCCCTGAATTAGACTGGGTTTTAGTTTAGGATTATCGGCTACAAAAAAAAAAACAGTATAACCTTTTTCATATTAAAATAAAATATACTAATTGATTTTTTAAATAAAGAAAAAACTGGTAAAATACATAATTTTGTATTAAAAAATATATAATTTTCAAATAAATATACAATTTTCATGAACTTTTGATTTTTTTTAAAAAAATTATCGGGTCATTTACGCCATTAATGGACTGAATAATGGAACAAATACTCGCATGGCATGTCGGCAAATAGATGGCAACGCTATTATATATTTTTTTATGACAATTCTATGATAACTTATGTATTTTTATTGGGAGTTCTCAATCAAATAATTGTCTTTGTTGTGTTTATAAGAATCCATAATTATTTCTTTGTAATTCTTTTCGTCAGAGCTTATGACAAGAAAGTTAGACACCGAAATGATATATGTGTACTTTAATTATCTTCTTATTAGATTACAAAACATATACATACGCATCTATATACATATAAATTAATATGTATCGCCCTAATTAAAAAGTAAGATTCAAGCTTAAGCTATAATGTGTTATGATCCTATGGTGGTTTGTTAATACCTTCCATCTTGGAGGTCTTTGCATCTCATTTTGTCAACATTATTCAATAAAAGTATATATATATATATACTTTTCACTAGGGGTGTCAATAGAACCCGAAATCCGAAGCCCGATCCGAAATCCGCCTGAAAAATTAAGGGTTTGGGTCTAATAATATAGGCCCGGTAAATAAATGGGCGGGCCGGCCCGGCCCGAAAAAAATTAGGGCCGAATCGAGTCTGGCCCGACCCGCCCATTTAGCCCGAAAAAATATTATATTATTAGATTATTATTTTCATTTGAGATTTAATACCACATAACAATATATAAAAACCTTTATTTGTATGTTATATATATATATATATTTATATTTCAAAGCAATTTGATTAATATATATTAAACTTATATTATATATATATATATTATTAAACAATTTAATTAGATTTTGGTTTAATTAATTTATATATATATATATTTTAAATTTTATATGATTATTTTAATTTTTTTAATTATAATTGATATGGACGAAAATTTGATATTGTTTTTTTAAAAATTGTTAAATTATTATTATTATTATTATTATATTAATAGTTATTTTTTATTAAATAGAAAAAACCCGAAATCCGGTCCGAACCCGCCCGAAGCCCTATAGGGTCGGGCTCCGGGCCACCGATCATAAGTCCGAAAAATAAATGGGCAGGCCGGCCCGGCCCGAAAAATTCGAAGCCCGAACTAAGCCCGACCCAAACCCGGCCCGGCCCGTCCATTTTACACTCTTTTCTGTTAGATAGCTAACCAACGCCATAGCAAATTTAAATGTATAATAATATAATGCACTATGCAAACATTTTACAGTTCTATTGAGATTTTGTTTTCTTAACTGTAAATTATTATTTATTTTTACAAAAATTTATGCTACATGTAAATTTATGATTTTCATAAAACGACAATGTTCTCTGGTACAAGAAATGACGACTGAACTTTAACAATAGGGTGCATTTCATCATGACCATAATATTCTAGTAGACGTGCGTCATTCGCGTGTGTGTGTATATATATATACATAAGTATTTTGGTTATATGTTTCCATTGGCACCATACTAATATTCTCGATTTTTCATCATCAACCAATGACCAATTATATATGTATAGTCGTTTTTATCTAATAGCTGGATATTAAAAATAAATAGTATTTCTATATAAATTTTTGCATAGAGATTTGCTTTCGGCAAAAGAATGTGGCGCAATGTTTTATAGTCAAAATGATTTCCATATTATAATGAACAAATGATCATAAAAGATTGTAATAGTTTCACCACGGGAAAATTACAATAGAACGACCATTTTTTGTCCACTGTGAATAAGGCAAGATTTGCGATCCTATTCACCTTTTTTCCATGCAGGGTTCTTTAAATAATATATAAAATCTTTTGGATAGACAAATCATATATATATATAAATTTTGTTTTCTATTGGAACATGATTTATTTTGACACGTGGGCGAAATACAATTGACATTATAATACGATATGAATCCTAATCGATACGTTATATAAGCATGAGGCTCGTTTATATTTAAAAAAACACTAAATATTTGTGTAATACTTTCTTTATTATCATAATTCCCTTCCTTGAAGTTATACCAAAAAAAAAAAAATTCCCTTCCTTGAAGTATACGTGTTGGTGCGAGAGAGAGAGAGAGAGAGAGAGAGAGAGAGATTGTTTGAAGCTGAAGCAACATTGCTTTCCTCGGCTTACACTCACCTAAACAAACAAACAAATATATACACACGTGTACATGTAAATATGTAATGGAGATACATATATATATATATATATGCATAAATTTATATAAGCATAAATTAAATAATTTCTTTAATATGACAAATATTTACTTACCGTGGAAATGAAGAAACCAGCAAATAAAATATGTGACACGAATGCGTATATACATGCATGTACATATATATATATATATATATATATATATAAAGGGTTCATACCGACATGGCAAGTAATTTTGATATTTTACACATATAATCCATTGCCTTTTGAATGAAGAAAACTAAATAGAAATAGAATGTGATAATAATCATATATATATATATATATACACACACATTGAAAAAGAAAATAGAAAAAATCCACAAGAGAAAGACACCTTGCGTCCTTGAACCGATAACCATCTTTCGGCTAACCTAGCCTCCTCCGTCCCTCGGGACCAACAAGGGGTAG